GGGGCAGATCCATGAGAGCATAAGCCCATGTGTTGTACTAGCTTTGCTCACACCAAAGAAAGATGGTAGTTGGCATATGTGTGTTGACAGTCGTGCCACTAACAAGATTACAGTTAAATGCAGGTTTCCCATACCCTGCCTTGATGACATATTAGACATATTTGCTAGTTCATAAGTCTTTTCAAAGATAGACCTGAAGAATAGATACCATCAAATTCGTATCTAGGATGGGGATGAGTAGAAGACTGCATTCAAGACTAAGGTCTTTATGAATGGTTGGTTATGCCATTTGGGTTGTCTAATGCTCCTAGCACCTTTATGAGGTTCATGAGTCAAGTTTTAAGGCCGTTCATGGGGAAGTTTGTGGTAGTTTATTTTGATCACATACTCATCTACAGCAAAGATCATGATAACCACTTAGGACACTTGAGAGGAATCCTATAAGTCTTGAGATAAAATCAGCTATATGTAAATTTGAAGAAGTGTAATTTTATGACAAATCGGTTGGTGTATTTGGGGTATGTTGTTTCAGCCAAGGGGATTGAGGTGGATCAAGAAAAAGTTTAAGCTATTCAAGAGTGGCCAACACTAAAGACCTTGATTGAAATTCGTAGTTTTCATGGGCTAGCAACTTTTTATCATTGGTTTATAAAGAATTTCAGCACTATCGTGGCACCCATTACTGAATGCTTGAAAGGAGGTGAGTTTACTTGGACTCTCGCAGCTGTGAAAAGCTTCCAAGAGCTAAAGATGAGGATGACAAAAGCTCTGGTACTAGCTTTACCTGATTTTAACAAGCTCTTTGAATTTGAATGTGATGCATTATATGTTGGGATTGGATCTGTCCTTGGCCAAGAAGGTCGTCCTCTTGCTTACTTTAGTGAGAAACTCAATGATGCTAGAAGGTATTCCACTTATGATGTTGAGTTTTATGCCATTGTGCAAGTGTTGAAGTTTTTGAGGCATTATCTTATCAAATGGGAGTTTGTGTTGTATTCAAACCATGATGCATTGAAACACCTTAACTCCCAATAGAAGATAAGGGGAAGACATGATAAATGGGTTGACTTTCTACAAGAATATAATTTTGTTTTGAAGCATAAGGCTGGACAGCAAAACCGGGTAGTTGAAGCTCTTAGTAGGAGAGTTCACTTGGTGTCAACAATGTCTACAAATATTGTGGGATTCAGCTCCATCAAAGACCAATACCAAGATGACCCTTATTTTGGCCCTATTTGTATAAGCTACACAACAGGTGACAAGGATATTCGTGCCAAGTTTGTGTGGAATGATGGTTACCTATTCTTGGGCAATAGGTTATGTATTCCATTAGGATCCTTGATGGCATTACTCATTGTTGATTTGCATTGCAAGGGACATTTGGTCACAAGAAGACACTTGGCATGGTCTCCAAAAGGTACTTTTGGCCAAGGATACAAAGGGATGTGTTCTATTATGTTGATAGATGTCACAAGTGCCAAACATCTAAAAGGCAACATCAAAATACAAGTTTGTATCTTCTCTTACCCATACCAAAAGCACCATGGACTGATATTACTATGGATTTTGTGTTGGGGCTTCCAAGAACAGATAGGGGTATTGACTCTATTTTTGTTGTGGTTGAAAGTTTCTCTAAAATGACCCACTTTATTGGTTGCCAAAAGACTTCTGATGCTTCTCATGTAGCTAACTTGTTTTTTAAAGAGGTTGTTCGGTTGCATGGATTGCCAAGATCTATCACATCAGATCGTGACACAAGATTCCTTAGCCACTTCTAGCGAACTTTATGGAAGCGTATGAGTACTACCCTACAATATAGCAGTACATTTCACCCACAAACCGATGGACAAACTAAAGTGGTTAACCGAAGCTTAGGCAACTTGTTGAGGAGCCTAGTCAAAGACTACTTAAAGCAATGGGATCTTATCCTACCACGAGCTGAATTTGCCTTCAATGACTCAATTAATAGATCTACATGGAAGACTCCTTTTGAGGTTGTGTACGGTCGGTCACCTAAAAGTGTTGTTAATCTAGCTCCTATAACAAGGTTGCGGTGAGTGAGTGATGATGCCGAAACTTTAGTTGAATCCATTCGAGAAATTCAAGAGAATGTACGATAGAAGCTGAAAGAAAGCAACCAAAGGTATAAAGAAGCTAAGGATAAGCATCGCTGGATGAAAGAGTTTCATGAGGGCGACCTAGTCATGGTTTATTTGCGGCCTGAGAGGTTTCCTGTTGGGACCTACCATAAGTTGAAGCAGAAAAAGATTGGTCCATGTCAAGTGCTGAGATGGTTTGGTGACAATGCATATAAAATTGAGCTACCAACTAATTTATGCATTTCACCCGTTTTTAATGTAGCAGACCTCTTTGATTACCATGGAGAGCTAGAACCAGCAACAAAGGATGGGCGAGGAGTAGCACAAAGAACCAGTAATTCTAATGAGTTTGAACAAGTAGAGGGTGTAGAAGATGTTCGAGTTACCAACACTCGAAACGGAGCCTATTTCAGGTTCTTGGTCAAGTGGAAAGGGAAACCATCAATTGAGAACTCTTGGATTAGTGAAGAGGGGTTTATGAAACTAGATGGAAACATGTGCAAGGCTCCTAAAATTGTTGGTTGCACAGGGTTTAGCTCCTTTTAACCCAACGGGAGTTATGAGGCAAAAAAAAAGAAGAAAAAAAAAAGAAATGTGTGAATGTATTCTGTTTTTCATGTTTTTGTAGTGGGATCCCAAATTGTTGTCTTTGGGTAGCTTTGTTGATAGTTTGGGATCATGGGTATTTTCATCATTTTATAAGTTAGGTTTTTGGTCAGGGGCAGTTTGGTGCATTTCTGTTGGGTTTTGGTCTCTTGGGTCTTTTTGTAACAAAAGTTATCATTTAGGTGTTCATTTGAAGTTAGTTTTGTTCCTAAGGAGTTGTTAGTTAAATGGAAACATTCTAGGGGCTTATGTCTAAATATTTTAACTAGCTTGTCCAGCAAGCCAATGAGTCTTATAAAAGAGAAGGGGGTTGTTTCTGTAGGGGACTTTTGTTTCTTTCTTTCTTGTTTGAGCTGTAGCTCAGCTCCAACTAGGGCTTTCAAGCATTGGGAGCTTGGGTTTTGAGGAGTCGACCCATTTTGGCGCCTTCCAATCCCTCCATCGCTGCATGTCCGCGTGGGAGGCCAGCTTGCTGCCATTATTATTGTAGTGGAACTGTTCCATGAGGAGTTTTACCTCAAGTTCCGGTCTGAAATCCCTAAAAATCCAACTTATTTTGTTGTTTTCAGCTTGGTATTTCTTATGCTTATTGTTGTATACTTGAGGTACTACATGTAACTTGTCCTTCTGTCAACATCAATCTCCCTTGCCATTCATGCGGAGATGCTTCCAATGTATGGATAGGATGGATTGCTGGGACATTGTTGGTACTGTGTGTTGGTAGCTAATATGAACTCCTCACCCATTGTATTGAGTTTATTTCAAAGGCTAGCATATTTGCACGGTGGTAAATGATATCTTTCTAAAATTGTCTATTTAATTTCTTTCTATATTTCAATCTTTTTTTTTGTTTCATATTATTAATATAAGATATTAGAGATGTGCCCAAATGTCTTCTATAAATTATTTTGTATTTTTATACTTTTGTGTGTTTTATTTTTTTTATTTTTATTATTACTTGATTATGACATCAAGGATTTACACATTTTGAGGTTGAATTGTTGACTTAATGCCACCAGAAAACAACTCCATTTTTAGTTGATTTTAAATTTGTATTTTATTTCTATCATCAATAAAAACAATCATTCTTTGTCATGCTTATATTTTTAATATGATCAATTAATATAAGATTCAATAAAAATGAGCCTAAATATAAGACTTAATGAGAAGAAATTGAATGAGGAGAAATATAATCAAAATTATATAATTTGTACCCTCACAATTAAAGAGAGACCAAATTCAAAAATAAGGGTATTTTAATCAAAAATAGAATTTAATATTTGTTAATGTGAGTTAATAAATTAAATATATAAAACTTAATGGGACGAATTTGAATGAAGAAAAAAATGATTATTCAAATTATGTTTCTGTACTCATTACAATGGAGATGACTAACCAAATTCAAAATTTGCGATATTTTAGTCAAACAAAAAATTTCACTCTCATTCACACTTTTGCAGTATAAACTAATAAGAAAAACAGCAACCCTGGATAATATCTGATTTTGTACAAGATGGTTCCCTTTAACAAATTCTATTCCAATCTGATCCTGGTCACACAATCGATTGTTAATAACCAATCTAATGAAAATAGAAATTGGGCCAATAATATCTGAATGGACCATGTTGATCTGTTACCATAATTTCTTGTCTACAAAGTGTCACAACAAAACAAAATCTGAATAGCATCTCCCTCATAAGCCTAGCTAGATAACCATGGACTATGATCACCAATAAAAATTCCTTTTATTTCTTTTTATATAGAAGCCCGTAGGTAACTTCATTCAAGTGGCTCAACAGAGGTGTCCCGCGTACTGGATCGGAAAATTGGGAAACACAGATAAGTCTTAGTTCTAGACATTCAATGCATGTTTTGTCGGCCAGACTGGAAAAATTTTGCAAGATGGGATAAGCTCGTAAGAGATTCCTGCAATCGACAATAGTTGTTAAATGCCGCCATGGTGGGCTTGAATTTTCACTAACAATAGATCAGATCTCAACAGTGAGCTGCATCACCTTCAATGATAACAGAACAGAGTGGAACTAGAGCTGATTAGCAAAGACTAATCCTTCAAAGATGATCTCGAGCTACTAATCCAATCCCAAAGGAATGAAGATGAACCAACAGCTGCGTCTACATTAGCCTTCACGCAGAAATAAAGATCAAACATACTTAGATCAACAATTTTGACTTTCCTCTCTGATTCTTGTTCTCGTGGCTTGACTTCACTCTCTAATGGAGGTTTGAATCATCTTCAAACATACATAAATCGACAATCTTGACTTTCTCTCTCTAATTCTCCCGACATTTAATTTACAGATATAAAAGAGCAGTGCTTTGCTTTGCTTTTGGCATCGCAGCTTGACACACTTCTCTCTAATAATGGAGGTCTGGTTCATCTTCCTCGTCTCTCTCTGCGTCGGTGCAGTCGTTAAACTGCTGCTGAGTCTCTTCTCACACGACACAGTCACAGACTGCCCTAAAATCCTCCCACCAGGTCCCCCTAGCGTCCCCATAATTAGCAGCTTCTATTGGCTCTGCAAATCCTTGTTAGATTTGGAGCCCATCCTCCGAGACCTACGCACCAAATACGGCCCCATTGTCAAGCTTCCAACAGGCTCCACTCCTACAATCTTCATCACCAACCATGAACTCGCCCACAAAGCTATCGTCCAGCATGGCGCCACATTCGCTGATCGCCCACCAGCTCTGCCGCATGCGAGCATCTTTTCTAGCAACCAACACAACATCGGCTCTGCCAAATACGGCCCTCTCTGGCGTCTCCTCCGTCGTAACATCATCACTGAGATCCTCCACCCTTCACGGGTCAAGTCTTACGGCAGTGGCCGCAAGTGGGTCTTGGATACATTAATCAACAAGCTCAAACAACAAGCTGAATCCGGTGAACCAGTCAGGCCGCGGGATCACTTCAGGTACTCGATGTTCGGCTTATTAGCTTTCATGTGCTTCGGGGAGAAACTCGATGAGAAAGTCATCAGAGACATTGAAGAGGTTGAGCAGAAGATCCTAATAAACTTCAACAACAATAACATACTAGCTTTCATGCCTAGACTGGGAAAGTTTTTGTTTCGAAAGCGGTGGAACGAGGTCTATGAACTGCAGCGAAGTCGCGAAAGTGTTCTTCTTCCTCTCGTTAGAGCAAGACAAGAAAAGCAAATGAGAAGGGACAATGAAGAGAAGGACAAGATGATCGTCAGCTATGTCGACACGTTACTCGATCTCCGACATCCAGACGGAGGAAGGAGGCTCACAGAGGTGGAGATGGTGAACATGTGCGGGGAGTTTCTGGGCGGAGGCAGTGACACGACGTCCACCACATTGCAGTGGATCATGGCGAACCTGGTGAAGCACCCAGAGATCCAATCAAAGCTTTGCTCGGAGATCGAAGGGGTGGTGGGTTCCGGCGAAGAGATCAAAGAGGAAGATCTGCAGAAGATGCCATACTTGAAGGCTGTGGTGTTGGAGGGTCTGAGGAGACACCCACCTGCACATTTTCTGCTGCCACATGCTGTGACGGAGGAGATTAAGATAGATGGATATGTTGTACCGAAGAACTCTATAATATATTTCATGGTAGCAGAGATGGGGTGGGATCCAAAGGTTTGGGAGGATCCAATGGAGTTTAAACCAGAGAGATTCTTGGGTGGTGGTGATGATGGAGGGGAGCAGGTATTTGATATAACGGGATCCAGGGAGATTAAGATGATGCCGTTTGGTGCAGGGAGAAGGATTTGCGCTGGGTTTGGTTTAGCGTTACTTCATTTAGAGTGCTTTGTGGCCAATTTAGTTAGAGAATTTGAATGGACGGCTGTGGATGGTGAAGAGGTTGACCTATCTGAGAAATTGGAATTCACGGTTGTGATGAAGAATCCATTGAGGGCCCACATCTCGCCGAGAATGCGATAAAAGATATATACTACGCTAGCACTACTTAATTAAGCCCATATAATAAGCAGAACTTGAATGCTCTGCCATAAATATCATGAGATCATCATCTCAAGGTACCTTATTTTATTTTTTTGTTTCCTAATATGATATGATGATCTCATTAGATCGAGATCATCTTCTCATTCTCTAGCGATAGGGATTCATGGTTTTGATTTGTCAGGCTGTTGGGGTTCTAGTCCCCATTTTGGTTGATGAATTCTTTATTGACTAATGTTGAAATTCATTTGAGTTCTAGTATCACTTGTGTAGTTCGTTCCTTGTGTATTGCTGTTTTACAGTTTCTCTAATGAAACAAAAATGTTCTAACAATCTACGATTGTAACTTGAGCTTGCCCCAGTTAACATTTTACATTGCTTCAGGCATGAGTCCTTTATCCAAATTTTGACAAAAAGTTCAACACGAATCCCACTTAGACCTGTTTAGGGGCCGGGCTTCAGGTTTGACTTATAGTACTGTATTGGATATAGGTTTTGGGTCGGGTTCCATTTAAAATTTGGCAAAAATCAAACCCGAGCCTAATTCATGAACAGATCTAATCCCACTTGAGTTGCACCTCTATCCAATACATTCCAAGTTTTCAACATGATATATCCAAATATATCGTAAATGGTGGATTGCAGTCTTACGATGAGATGTATACACATAAATCATGCTGAAATCGTGTTGGGAGGAGATCTCACTCCAGGGGTTTAATGGCTCTGCACCTAATATGGATGCATTACTATATATGAGATGTACATTGGAAGGAAGGGTGTTGGAACATATTTTATTGGCAGGAGATCTTAACTTTTTTTTGCTACATGTTTGAACAAATGGACTGTATTAGGATCTATTAGCTATTTTTAATCATGTTAATAACTTAGTGGTGTATTTGTTAGAATCAGTCTTGTTAGTGGTTTCATTTTGTTAAAGCAAATTGGGGTATAGTGGATTTTATGGGCCCACGTTAATGGAGGGAAGAGGCTATATATTGAAATAGTCATTAATGAATATGGGTGGATCTTTAAATAAATGGGTCTTTTGTTAAGGTAGAATAGAGCCTTAAAACAAGCAGAAAATCTCTATGGTAGTTAATATTTTAATTTGGAAGGTTTTGTTCATGGGAAAAATTTTGGCTATTTGTATAAAACACCCTGCACTAGTGTCTGGGAGTTTATTACCAAATTACCCGTTACCATGGGTGCTGGGTAAAATGGTAATTGCACATAATATTCTTTAAACGAAAAGAACAAACAAGGGGCTGCATGGGATAACGTGTGACCGACCTGGAAGAAGCTCCCAAACAGCCAAACTGTTCTCTTTGGTTCATGTATTTAGAGTTTGTTGACGCTCGGATTTGGCATAGTGTCACAGGGCTAATCGACGGGGCCCCGTGCGGCGCTTGATTGGGGTCGAGAAAGCCTACAAATGCAAATCACAACACACAAAAGGAAATAAGAGTGCACACAAATTAGACAAAAGGCAACTTGTATTGCATTAATCAGTGGTAAGCACAAGCACACAGTACAGTGTCGAGGGGATCTCATGCTTAACCTTTACACGCTTATGAGCTCACTCGACTACCTACCTCCCCTCAAAGAGTACGTTAAGCTTTTGGGGGAGTGACAAAAGGATACATCAAAATACTGTACATGCATACTACTATTTACATAATTGCCATTGGCATACCCCCCTTACAAAAAGAGTACAAGGACCCAACCCAAGACACTTAGATGGCGTGCTGATGGCGTGCGGATGGCGCTGATGGTGGCTGAACCATCACAATAGGGCGTGCAACACAGTAAATCTGTTCTGCTTCTTCTATGAGAAGGCTAGTGGATAGATCCAAGGGGCGCCGAGGCCAAGGACTAGTTGAATCCGAGGGGTGTCGAGGCCAAGGGTTGGGAGAGACCGAAGTGCGTTGTGGGCAATGACTAGTGGAGTCTGCTCGAGGTCAGGTGAGGTCATCTGAGGCCGAGTACCTACAAGGAAGGGAACGTCAAAGGCCTCAGGTGATAACCCGAGGCGGGGACTCCGACTGTCAAGTTAGCGAGGGGGTAGCTAAGAGGGCGGACAAGGTCCGAAGAACTCGGATTAGGTCGCCAGAAAGCTGGAGAGAAAGAGAGAATGGAAGTCTGGTGGCCAGAGAGAGAGACCCCTTACCTTGGGGGTGGCATGCCCAATTTACACTTGAGACCGCCTGATAGCGAATGCATGTGGATGGTCAGGATGCAATCTGGCCCTGATAGGGCAATCATCCGAGCTCGCCGTGTGTGGTCGCACCATTGGTCCAGCGGTGGGCACCGACCTCTACCCTGCTAAATGCGCTAATTGGCTCCGCATTGTGCCATGTGTCGTCATGTCGTAGGCCTACCGAAAGCACCTACATCATTTGCCACCCACTCTCGAGGCCGTGATGGAGGTCATAGCTAAGGACCTCAGCTTCGGACGAAGAGAGTGTCGTTCTCACTGGGAGGCGCTGAGTGGCCTTCCATGGCAAGGACCTCGACTATAGCCAAGCTGGAGAGTGCGGTCTTAGGGTGCAGAGAGGCTGGTCCCAATTCTGGAGTTGCTAAGGATAGCCCAGATTGGGAGCGTGGAGATGTCTACTATGGCCAAAGCCTCATCGAGCATAGCCCGACCTATGAGCGTGTAGACCACATTATCGGCTTCGAGGAGCTTCTGTTAGCTGTCATGATGATTTTGCTCCTTAAGGAGGTCGTAGGGGGCCGAAGAGTACGGAGTCGTCGTCCTCGACTCTAGGGAGCTCGGTATCGTGTTTTCTACGGGTACAAGATGCATGTGGCCCCTTGTCATGTGCTACGGATGAGCCGATAAGTCCGTGCATGGGCTAGGCATCGGCTTCTAGCCAGTCGCCACTGTGCAAGGTGCAGTCGGCAAGTGGGAGTGTCGTGGCCATGCTCGAGACGAATTTCGACATTGGGTGTTGTTCGCGCAAGGCCAATCTCGACGTTGAAGATCTGAACCATGCCCGGGGTGGGCACCGGGTCATGATCGTACGCGAGACGGTGCGATGTTCTCTTGTATCTAGTGCAGAGGGTTGGTCGTTCAGGTCCGCTTGGTGGGGAGATGAGCTGAACCCTAGGCTAGCCTTGGCTGCGCTCGCCTAGGTAGGAGGATTCCTATTGTCGGCCCGACACATTGGCTCGCTTTCACATGTTTGCATAGGGATGTCGCTGAACGCTAGGGACTTTGCTACTAGAGAGGGCGTTGGGCGAGGGCCCGTTTGGTAGACAAGTCAAGAGGGCCCCTCAGCCAGGCCGACCAGGAGGGTACATTGGCAAGGAGAAGAGGTGCGGCCTGTTACAATCTGACGCAAACTTAGCTTTTCTAGTATAATTATTGAGAAAAGTCATGTTTTCTACTAGTAGACCACCAAAAGCTTAATGTACTCTTTGATGAGGGGTGGTCGACCTCCTTGGGTGCCTAACCTTGGCACTCCTACACCAACTTCCCTTATGGGGTGGCCCTGGTTAATGCCTAGCATGGCTACTAGGGTTCCTCATGGGCGCACACATGCTCATGGGGACAATGCATGGACCGGCACTGCTCCTCCATTACTAAAAGGGTGGCTTTGCATGGGGGCTTGGCCTAAGCTTGTCCCTTTACCACCCCAGCCCCATGTCTAAGCTGATTGAGCTACCTAGTTTCCCATAGCGCACGGGTGTGTTCTGGCTCAGTGGTTGCCTATCATCATTGGCACAACATGTGCCCAGCATCATCGGCGCCACAGTTGCCCCTCATCTTGGCCTTCCCCCTTTGGCATGTAAGAGGCGCCTTCCATGGATCGATAAGAGCCAACAAAGAGCCTTGTCCATGTGCCATGAGGTCATGATCCAGAGCCGCTAACCTTGGTAGAGCCAACATCAGGCCTACACTTGGCCCCTTATGCACACATCAGGCTTGTCCTAACCTCCCTTAGCCTGGACGCCGCACGGGTTTTTCCATTGTAGAACTACCCCCGTGACAGTTGGTATCAGAGCGAGCTAGCCAACTATTGTTGCAATTGGTATCAGATCCAATAGCCAACTGTTGCTACAGTTGGTAGAAGAGTAAATGTAAACAAAGCCAGTTGAAGCGGTCATCTTGACAAGCAGCACATCGTGGGGTGCGGTCCCTTGGCACTTCCACTTAGGTTCAAGCAAACAAGCATATTTGGTCTGGCAAGAGGCCATTCATCGTGTCCCCATTCCAATGACCCCGAAGCAGCGCTCATGCGGGGGTAGACGCATGGGCCATTTCATGGAAGGCATATTGTTGTGGTTTGAGTGGGGGAGTGCCATGCTTCCACATGGACATTAGTCGTTGTTCATTTTGTTGAGTTGTGGGTGGTGCGCCTACATCTTGGTTTCAGGACGGATGAGTCATTGTTCCGTAGCTTGTCAAAGGCACTACTAAGGCAGGGACAAAAGTTTGAAATTGGTTGGTGTCGACACTTGATCAAGGAATATCATTGAAGTGGCAGTTTAGCACAAAATGGGTCCTCGGTTGAAACCGCAATATTGGAATGATAGGAATGTGGGTACACAGGCCATTGGAGCATGGCGGCCCTACATCGGCAATGCATCGGAGGACATGCTCAGTTTAACACACAGGCAGAACATTTGCAGTAGCTATCACACATCACACATGCGAGTGCATGTTCGGCAACATCATGGGTAAAAGTTGCCACACTCGCGTACATTGCGGTTGGATCCTTGAGGCAGCACATTGGGGCCCCCTCGAAGCAAAGAGATAGCCCGAGTCGGTGAGGTCAAGTATAGTTTTGAGGGCCAAAAGAGCATAAGCCAAGGCTAAGTTTGAGTAACCCGAGCACAGCGATGTGAAGTATGCAAGCCAGCATGGTGAAAGGGTACTCGACACACTATGCCAATAGTAGGAGAAGACCTATCACTGTGTGTTTGATAGCACCACCAAAAAGCTACCAAGAAGACGGTTGAGCCTTGAGGTAAAGAATACATGGAGCGAACCTCCGCGAAACTACACACATTCAATTTCTTCAAGGGCCCTTCTTACACACATTTCGGTGGCATAGACATTGCGTAGTTTGAATAATCTCAACATAGTTGGTGAAGTCTAGGCAGGCCGACATGGTGAAATGGTTCTATCCCCATAAATGGACACCAACATAGGCAAGACCTAGGTTGACCAAGCGGGCCCAAAACTAGAGCACGTGGATGGTGCGGGACACAGACGCCCATTCACTAAGGAGCCATTATCGATGACGACAATGGATTAAGCGGGGGAGCCTATCACGGTCTGA